AACTATTTTTATCTTTTTTCATTTCTAGCATTTAAAGCAATGTGTAGAGGGCTGGGATTGTGGCTCAGTGGTAGAGCATGTGCTTAGTACCCTAGCACATGTGAGGCATAGGGTTCAGTCCTCAGCACCATATAAAAATAAATAAATATGGGCTGGGGATATGGCTCAAGTGGTAGCGCGCTTGTTTGGCATGCGTGCGGCCCCGGGTTCGATCCTCAGCACCACATACAAAGATGTTGTGTCCACTGAAAACTAAACATTTTTTTTTTAATCAAAAAATAAATAAATAAATAAATAAATGTAGTGCACAGAAGGCACTCAAGTATTTACTGAATAATAAAACACATTAAAAGTATTGTAAACTTAAAAGCTGCCATCACATACAGTCTGTTGATTCTACAGTATTTCATTTGCAAAATAAAGTACATTTGCTCCATACCACAATTTGAAGCATTATGTTTACAAAAATTTCATTAAAAGCTATACATGGGAAGGGAGTGTAGCTCAGTGGCAGAACACTTGCTTGGCATGCACAAAGCCCTGGGTTCAATCCCCAGCACCATCCAAAAAAAGCTGTAAAAGTACATATTAAATTTATGTAAGCATACTAAACATATTCTGTACACCCAAAAAGTTGGAAACAGTCATCATTTATTTCCTTAGCTTTCTTTTGCAAAGTAATTACTGCTGTGAGTTAATTAGGGTGTCATAAATTGACATTTACTAAGCAGAAAACTCTACCTTGTCCTTGTGGAAATTTAGATATATCACATCATTAAAGGAAAACATGGAAAAAGTGATTATTATTATTATTTATTATTATTATTATGGAGCTGAGGATTGAACCCAGTACCTTGTGCATGCAAGGCAAGTACTCTACCAACTGAGCTATATCCCCAGCCCAAAAAAGTGATTTTTAAGAAGGACTTGAAAGGAAGAGAGGTCAAAAAGACCAAAGAGGAGAGTACACCGACTTCTGAAACTTTAAGAAAAATTCAAGTACTAGAATAACCAGGGACAATAAAACAGATTTCATACATTATAATTTAGAAAATAAAGGAGAAAAGTAGATGGAATATAGATATTAAGCAATTATTGATTAATATAGTGCTCAAACTGGTAACAACAACTTCATTAGACAAATTATTCAATGAAGCTCATGTGCCAGGGGCTAGATATACAAACAATTCCAGCATGGTTCCTGCCTTCATAAAGGCTACATTTGAGACAAGATAATAATGAAGAAAACAAATTAACGTAGGATTACATATTCTGTGGAGTAATATGAAGAAAACAAGAAAAATGCCAAAGAACAATGGTATGAGAGGAGGCCCATACCCTAGAACTGTCTCATCACATCTGAACCGGGCAAGAAAAGGAAAACAAACAGCCATACACATCATAGTTGAGTATGGATTTCATCTTTAGTAAAATAGTATACTTACTAAAGAGCTGTAAATCAGTTAAGAAATTGAAAGAATTTTTCTCCTTCCTAAAAATGACTCTAGCTAATTACATAGAGCAGGACAGAAATATAACCTGCCTCAGACAGGTTGGTACCTTGGTCAGATATCTATCTTTGGCAGAACAAATTCATCTTTCACTCAAATCTAAATCCACCACTACTGGATTGTGGGGTGGAGTGTAGTATGGAGTACAAGAAGAGTACCAAGGAGAAAGATTTTAAACTAAAGGCCATGACATAACATCATAATTTTACCATATCAACTTAAGTATTTTAATTACTCCAATTTCTTCATCAATAAATTCAGGACATTCCCTTTTAGTTCTAAAACTCTATGGCACTGTAATGAAAAAAAAAAAGCAAATTTAGGACAAAATTTTAAAGGAGGCAAAAAATAGAGTGGCAGAATTGTGAATATCTTGTATTTTTAAAAGTAGGTTAATAAATATTTTATACATAAAGGTAGGGAGGTTTGAGACAGATTATAAAAAAGGCAAAGATGTCAAGTAATTATTATAAAAGCTGTAAGAAGGTGAGTACTGTGGCATTTAGAGTTGAAGTTAAAAATTTTGGTAGTATGTAACAAAAGGCTATTTTCAAAGGAATCTAATGAAGGAAAATGTCCTTTTCTCATAAGCCACATTCCAACAACTTATAAACTTGGGAAAACAACTATTTATTCCAATAATGTTATTTAATTAGTTTAAACTGCACTAAATCTTGATATTTTCAGTTAAAAATAAATTACTTTTCCATTTAATTAATGATTAAAAGTCACATGCCAAAAACAATCATGACATATAACAAATATTTTCCTTTTTAAAAAAAATTCTTTGAATTATAGGTATCTGATCAGTTATTATTTCCCTATGGTCAGAGATCTTAGAATTTAAGGTAGCAATTTATATATATATATAACCAATTCTAACAGGGTACAGAGAAAATATCATATTTTCTGTGCTGTTCCTTATTTGAAAAAGGATGCCAAGAAAAAATTGAATTCACTTGGAACATACCCCCTAATATTTATATGTAGGTATAAATAGTACTTCTGCTCTTACATTTTTTTCCTCAACTAGCCATGAAAATAAACAGTAATTTGCAGTTCTCTCCCTCCCTCCCTCCTCCCCACACCCCACTACCTGGTAATTTTTACTAATCACTTCATAAATTCTCAGAAACATTCAGCTATACTCTTTCCATATGAATGTTAAAATGCAGAACTAAGAAAATAAAGACTTTTGTTTACTAATAGTGTATATAACAATTTTTTTTTCAATTATACATGACTCATATGCAGGCAAACCACTGACTGAAGTCCAGTGTTTACTTAGAAAACAAGTCATCTGGTAGCCACAAATTCCCTAAAGATTGTAGCAGAAATGTGTAAAAGGCTTCAAAATACTTGAAAAAAATCCCATGGAAGACAAATTAAAATAAACAAACATACTAGAAAGGTGATGATTCTTCAAGTAAACATGACAATCTTATTAAAATGCAATGTATGTTTTTCTTCAAAAACGAAATCCAAGAAGATGAAATAGATACTTTATATAAAATGTTTACATATACAACGCAAAAAATCCACTATGGTTAGTAGCCTTTATGGCTTTGAAGAACTAGATATTTACATATCTCTCTTTCTGCATGTGTGTGTGTATGTGTGTATGTGTGTTTTGTATATATTTTTAACAGTTGACAGCTGTTTTAGAGCATACAGAGATGCCAAGCTGAATGAGGGTCTTGATTACTTCAAGATTAGCTATCTAAAGTTTCTATTCATTTTAAGTGTTGTTAGTTGGAAGAGTCATTAGTCACTTCCTTGTCTCATAGAACATCAGCATACATTTACATTGTTAATGAACATTTGGGGTAAATGAATTAATGGCACTTTTAAACATCAATTCACTCCTAATAACTCAGTATGTCATAGAAATGTTAGGCTAGGATATAAATGAAAAGCCTTTTCAGTAAAGGTAACTACTCATTCTGTAAACAATAAAGGATAAAATTAATTTAAATTTTTTTTAATATTTAATGAAATAGACTAGAGAAAAATATGCACTTAAAAAACAGAAAACTATATTCTCCACTAAGCATAAAAGCCAGAAATAGTATGAAAACTGTATTAAAGAATTTTATGTACATGTAAAACACTTATAGAAGTATGAGCAAATTTATTTAACTTATTTAATGGTGAGTACTGCTTATAGGTATTAATTACATTTAAGACAAATCCTCACTTGAAAAGCTTTCATGCTTACTTTCATGCTTACTACTGGGAAAGCTTTCATGCTTACTATTAAAATACTGAAAATAAAATGGTCACATTTTCATATTATCAAATTCTTAAACATCAGGCTGTTGAGTCTTTATGTAAGAAAATATGAAAACAAAAATATCACAAAGTCATTTTGAAATTCTACTATTTTTCAAAACATCAATGGCATTTGCATGATGCAGATATTAAAGATACACACACAAAAAAATAATAATAATAAACTCCATAAAAAGGCTTACATTCTAAAGATATAGCCAATTTAGTAGTCAACCAATTCTTCAAATTCTCAAAACACGAGCTAATGTCAGCCCTTGACATTAATATGAACACACACAAAACAATAATTTTATTTTAAGCATAAAACACATATTAATTACTTTGACTAATTTAAGATATTTTAAAATAGACCTCAAAACCTGATACAATGGGTATGATTGCCGGAATGTTGCAACTCTACAGCATGTACCACCAGAAAATGAAAAGTTGTGCTCCATTTGTGTAAAAAAAAAAAAAAATCATTAAATTTTTTTAAAACCTGATATATACATTTCATGAGTGCAAAATTACAATTAGTCAATGAGTTTAATCAAATATTTAATGATATACCTAAAACTAAGGATAAGGCTTCAAAAATTCTCACATTCATTCCTTCCTTTTAAGTATATTACTATCATTAAGTAAACACTAAGAAAATAAAGATTTTTATCTAGACACATTTTAACATAGACACATTTGTTAGGTTTTAATAGGACAGACGCTGACTATAGTCTACTTTTTAACAGTTTACAACTGAATAATTTGAGTATAGATCTTTAGAAGTATGTCAAATTTTCAATTATTTGCAAAAGGGAGAGAAAAACAAACAAACAAACAAAAAACTCAGGCAATTATTTTTTAATCCTGGAATAAACTTGCTAAAGCAGTGAAAAATCCCTGTAAAAAATCAATACCTTTAAAATGTTTGAGAAAGGACTCTGCATTTGTATGCTGACATCATAGTTTATTCTCTTTCCTGCCCCGCCCCAAGAATGACAGCGTATTAAACATTTGAGTCATGCTTCTGTCTGTAATTCAAAGTACACTTTTTGTAGCATTCATTAGTGTCAACAGTGTTCTGTAAATATCCAGGGAAAAGTTCTTAAAGTTCTTGAAGTTTCCTGGTGAAAACTATACCCACAAGGCGGATCAAGCTAACTGGAACCCCTATGCTAGGTTTCCTAGCATTCCTAGACAGCAATTGCATACAAAACTCACCTCCAGACTTGTTTGAATAACTGGACAAGGGGTCAATGCCTACTTCTTGTTCTTCCGGCTGCAGAGGATGTCTAGTTTCAGATAAGGAATGATACATTGTAGAAACTGGACAGTATCACCAAAAGGAACTTCCTAGGAAATAAAAATAAAGAAAAAATATTTTTTCTTTCTTTCACCTATGACAAGGAAGAAATATAAGACTGAAATGATTAAATGAGCCTTACAGACATTAACAAGTTTTCCACAGGCTCCAGGGACTGTTACTACACCTTAGTAGGCTTATGCAAAAAAGGTGGGAAAAAATTTCCATTTAAACACATTCTCCCAAAATTTGAACTTCACTTATATCCTTTATTTCAATGTTGAATCACATTTATTTTCAGTAAAATTTTGCACAAACAGCTGAACTAGAAGTTAAAAAACAAACCCTGTTTTTACATTTATGGCATCTTTTACTACAAAAATAATACATTCACAGTAGAAACCTTCAAAGTACAAAAAATTCAGCAAATGATAATCATTTATACAACTATACTAGCTAGAAACAGCACTGTTGCAATTTCCATGTAACATACATACTTTTCTTGTTTTTGTTGTGGATATTTAAAACACATATGTTTTTAATGTGATCCATCATGATAAACAATGATTTATCATGAATGTCTTCCTTCCCACTACAATAAAAATATGTGTACGTCACCATTTCTAATGGATCCCTAGCATCCCATCATGTAGCTATCACAATTTATGCAACCAATATCTTATTAGTAAACAATTAGGATGCTCTCAGTTGTTCAATACCATAAACAACCTCACAGTAAATATCTCTGTGTCAAACCCATGACCATTTCCTTAAGATACATTCCTGTAAGTATACTTGCTGGATTGTAAAATATATTTGTAAATTAAGATTATATAACTTTTTGGTAAATTGTGCTTTAGCAAGATTTGAATATAATATAAAAGTTCATTTCCCTTAGGCTTGTGTGGATCTTTTTGAACTGACACAACAGAGATTCATTGAGTATCAAGAAACTGCAATGTGATTACTAAAGATTTTCTGTTTCTTTGACAATTATTTGTTGTTACGATTTGAAAACATGCTTTAAATATTAAGTATATTAAGTCTCTGGCGTATGACACATTTTTCTCAAAGTGTGTCCATCTTTAAGTTGTTATAACATAAGGGTATTTTGTGACAGAAAGTATACATTTTTCATTTTTATGCATCAAAATATGACTGTATCTCCATCATGGATTTCTTGTGTCATGCTTACAAAGGCACAATTACATAAGTAACCACCTATATATTTTATGATTTTGACAGAGCTTCCCCTCAATTCTTATTCCAAATATTCTTGTTCTACATTATTCCAAATTGAAAACATTAAAAAATAAATCTTGAATTTCTAAGGTACCTTAACTATTGTGGTTAAGATCCTAAATGTCCCCCCCAAAGCTCATGTGTAAAAGGCTTGGTCCCCAGCTGATGGCACTATTGGAAAGGGGCAGTAACTTGAGAACAGCTATAGTTGAAGGAAGTTAGGTCATTGGAGGGCATGCCCTGGAAGGCTATAGTGGCCCTGGCCCCTTCCTCTCTGTCTTTACCTCCCAGCAGACATAAGGTAGGCAGCTTTGCTCCCTCCACCATGCAACTCCTACCATAATATTCTACCCACCCAAAAGCAATTGAACCAACCAATTATGCACCAAAACCTCTAGAACTGTGAGCCAATATAAACCTTACCTCCTTTAAGTTGATTTCACAGGTACTTTGGCACAACAATGGAAAACTCACATGTTAACTTCTTGTAATTTTTCTATAGCCATAGGGTACAAATTAACTTTTCAAATCAGAATTCTTACAAAAAATAAACCAGGCTCATCAATTTTATCCAAAATAATGCAAGTAAAATAATATTTTAAATTTCTATGTCAGAGAAGACATGAAAGAAAAAAAATGAGAAAAAATAAATGGGAAAAGCAAGTCCAAAAGAAAATGAGTACTTAATTTTATAAGATATAGTCCTTAGCTATGGAGAAAAGGTCTCAGTGATACGCATGAATACACAAATCCTTGATCAACTTTTCCCAATACAAAATGTTCCTCCATTCCATTCACTTTTTCTCTAAAATCCTCACCTTGTAAAACACGCCTTTCCTGTTCATTTCCACCATTTTTATTAGAATCCTCCAACTCCTCACCCACCCACAAATCACAGTATGATGTTAACAAGTCCTATGCCCTGGGACTGTGGCTAAAACAACAGAATCAAAGGCTTAAGGAAAATAGAAAACTTATATTGTAGAGATAAAATAAAAAATTTCTAAAGCCAGAAAACCCTAAATCCATAGATTTAAAATAGTTGTCACTATTTGCTTCATATGTATGCAAATCAATACACATCTATAAAAGGAACTCTGGGAAATTATCTACTAGAGGGTAGCAAAATATAGATAATCAGATAATATAGAAGTTATTAAAAAATCTGATAATCCTGTTGAACAAATTAATGAAAAGAAAGTCTTCTACAACAATAAGGCTAACCAAATTTAAATGCCTATTATCTTCAGGCAAAAAGCGTTATTAATTACAGTGTACATTTGCAAACAACGAATACTGTTGTGAAAACACTCTAAATTCTTCATGTACACTTATCATTTCATCTTTCTTACAACTTGGTGATGATGTGTCTTCATTGTCTTTGTTTTCCAATTAGTTTAAGAGAAAACTAATTAAATTTGTCTAGAGTAACACAATTAGAAAGTACTGAAGCCAGAATTTGAACACATTCTGTCTAGATCCAGAGCTTATATTCTTTCTCATATACTACAAGGGGATCTCAATAAGTCAATGAGGCACACAGACCAAGTATAAAACAAGGCGTAAGATGATGAGTCTGTGAATAATGAAACACCCTTAATTCTGCTTCAGCTCTTTCAAGATAAAATAGATATACAGAATTTTCTGTGAACTCCCCTTACTTGTAATTGTGGCAAATAATTCAAATTTAGAAATAAATACTGTGCAGAACAGATTAAACAGATTCTGAAATTGTATCTGGGCAACTATTTTTAATGTAATATTCATATCCATGTTGCTACATCTTAAAAATATGAAATTAAAAATTTTTAAATGACTTATTCCAAGTTAACAGCTAGATTTACCTTAAAATTTCTTTAATATCCTAAACTATGTTTTTATAACTTCGTTACCTAAATTTCTCTTTGTATTATAGATTTCACATACCTAAGATGATTTGTATGAATTTTAAACTTTATAAATAACAGACAACTGACAAGCAAATTGATATCAAAGTCTATTTTAAAAAGGAACAACAAGCCAGGTGTTGTGGCATGTATCTATAGTTCAAACTATTCAGAAGCTGAGACAGGAGGCTCTCTGGAGCTGAGGGGTTTAAGACTAGTATAGGCAACATAGAAGATCCCCTACTCAAGGAGGTGCTGGGAGGGGGGGAGGGGATAGGAGGGGGGGAATTAAAAAAAAAATTGTTACCACATTTAGTGACAAAATGCCTGTAATCTCAGCTACTTGAAAGGCTATTGGAAGAGGAATACAAAAGTTTGAGGCCAGCTAGGACAAAGCAGAAAGACCTTATCTCAAATTAAAAAAAAAAAAAAAAAAAAAAGACTTGCAGCTCAGAGGTAGAGTGCTTGCTTTGCAGGGGCTGTGGTTCAAGCCCCAGACCCTGAAAACAAAGAAAAATGTCTTTTTATATTTTATTATTAAATTAAGATATACTACAATAGGATGATGTTTATATATTCATTCAACGTATTACAAGATACTTAAAGATCTTTTCAACAACTTAAAGGAAATTAAGCTCACTAATGTTTCAATGAATTTAGTTATAATTATAAATCTTCAGTACTTGGCAAGTATATGGTAACCCCACCCCCCAAACTGGAATACATTAATCTATAATCATTCTATATAATCAGGAATCCACTATCTCCAAATTTATTATGCCTATAGTTTTGACTGAGATACTGAAATGCTTTTATAATTAATAAAAGTAAACCTGATGACTATTAATAATGAGTTATTTTCAAGCAATCTGTGGAAGAGAAAAAGTGTGAAAAATATTCTTAGTTTTCTTTTGATTATAATCTTAAATAATGATCTACTGCAAAAGTAACTTATTAAAAAGTTGGCACTTTTTGTTTTTTTATTTTAATATAAAGAGCTATTTTGGCATTTTAGAATATACAAAAATACTCAAATGTGTCTGTTATTGCTATGCTGATTACCTTATAAAAATCAGAATAAAACATGGCTTTAAATTGTGAAATACTTTTAAGAAATTCTCAATTTCTTTCATAAATATACCACAAGAAAATATGTCTCTGTACTTATTTTGATATTTCTTACATATAAATTCAATACCTTTATCACACTATATGAAAATATTTGATAACAATTCATACAAAAATGAAGGTAGTTTTGTCTTTAGTTTTAAAAATAATCACTCTAAAATTAACAAAAACTTTGAGTTTTAATGATCCATTACATCTTAAATTTGTATTACAAACTTTGACTTCTATACTTGATCTCTACCATCTAGTTTCTACATAGAGAAAAACACAGAAAGGCCAGAAGTAGGCCTCTTTGTAAATGACTACTCAAATCCATGAGAGATACATTTCAGTTCTCTCAAATGCTACACAGCTATGTCTAGACTTCTTGATAAAAATGATACCCAATTTTTATGGAAAAGGGACTGTCTTTACTTTCTTATAACTTTATAAATAACAAGTTTCCCTGTTTTACATAAATTTGAAATTCAGAAAACTCAAAACTGGTTTTAGTACTATCCTGGTCACAGAAACTGACAAATTAGATGGAAATTTCCATCTCATCTTAAATTGAGTTACCTTCTAAGGACAATCTTAAAGATACCTGCACTAGTTTCACATATCTGATTCTTATAGCATTAAATGTAAAACTGATCTGTCTAAAAAGAGGGAAGTCCTGTGCTAATGATTAACAAAATGGTGGAAGTTTAGCACTGAAGTTTGGAAGACAGTTTTAAAGTACATGAAAACATTTTAAAACTTCTTTCACATGCATAAGCGTCTCAAAAACTTCAAATTATTACCACTGTACAGAC